CTAGATTCCTATATTCCAAAATTTCTATAGCCTTGGATTCCCTTATTTTCTAGATTTCTATATCCCCAAATTCCTATAGCTCCAGATTTCTATACTCCCCAAATTCCTATAGCGTTAGGTTCCTATAACCCCATATCCCTACGTCCCTAGATTCCTATATTCTAAAATTTCTATAGCCTTGGATTCCCTTATTTTCTAGATTTCTATATCCCCAAATTCCTATAGCTCCAGATTTCTATACTCCCCAAATTCCTATAGCGTTAGGTTCCTATAACCCCATATCCCTACGTCCCTAGATTCCTATATTCTAAAATTTCTATAGCCTTGGATTCCCTTATTTTCTAGATTTCTATATCCCCAAATTCCTATAGCTCCAGATTTCTATACTCCCCAAATTCCTATAGCGTTAGGTTCCTATAACCCCATATCCCTACGTCCCTAGATTCCTATATTCTAAAATTTCTATAGCCTTGGATTCCCTTATTTTCTAGATTTCTATATCCCCAAATTCCTATAGCTCCAGATTTCTATACTCCCCAAATTCCTATAGCGTTAGGTTCCTATAACCCCATATCCCTACGTCCCTAGATTCCTATATTCCAAAATTTCTATAGCCTTGAATTCCCATATTCCCCAGATTTCTACATCTCCAAATTCCTATAGCACCAGCTTCCTACAACCCCAAATCGCACATCCCTAAATTTCCACATAAAATTAAATATTCCATAGAAAACGAGTAATATCTTTCTTCTCCTCCTTACAACAACACTAAACTCCTTAAAACAATAGTAAATTCTACAACCAGTAATGATTTATAAGATCCCAAAGATCGATCCACAAGTATTGCACAACGAGAGGGTTCACCCTCCGACCAAAAAGCGTTCGCAGCATGCGATACTTGATCGGGTAAGGTGAATTACCTGAAGCAGGCCTGTAAACTTGATGGTAAGAACCCTGTGCAAGAACTCGTTATTTGACCAAACACGGTGCGAAAATTGTTATAGGATTCCGTTGATTGTCTACCGCGAAGGATAAGGTGATAAGCTGTTATCCAATGTTATCCTTTTTTTATCGATGCGGTAGATTGCACGAGATCAGGGTACGAGAAGGTTGTAACGAAATTTGTTGTTTGAAGAGAACCTTGGTCCTGCTTGTTAGCGAGTATCAGGAGTCTCAGGTAGACGTGGTGTTATTTTAGACTCGTAGATGAGAGGTGTTTGATTCGAACGTTTATTAGGAACGTGGGTATTTATTCTGAGACTTGTGACGATTTTTTTGGAGGATTAAATTGACGTTTTAGACCAGGGTATAGTTTTATAGTTTCAGAGACTTTCTGTACGGTGACTCGATAATGTTACATAATTTAATAAATAAAATGAGCAGAGTTCATTGGCTGTAGTTTCAAATATTGAAAATGATCACCAATGATATCAATCAATCACTCAAATTTGCGTTAACATTTTCATATTTTCATATCGTCTTTTAATTTTTATATTTAATATTCAAAGTATGAATACGTCATATCAAAATATTTTGTATTTTATCAGAATACAACTTGATACTTTTTCATGTCCAACTTGATACATAATGAACAACATAACATAATTATAAAAAATACAGAGATATTTATGTTAATATAGTAAATTACTTTGTCTTCAAGTAAAATTATGTCTCAACTAAATTTTACGAACTTTCTGAGGACAGGATGAAAAAGACCTCCCCATTTGTGAAGAAAGACCATTCTTACACCGTAAAATCCCTCGGCGGCCATCAGGCACCAACGCGAGGTTACAAAATCTTTTGTTCAAGCAAATTCGGTTCCTAGGTATTCGAAGAACTTCTAGAAAAGGTTTGATGACTCAAAATAAACTCTGCTCGATAATTATGGAAATTAACAATTTCACCCTCCTCTGTTAATTAACTGATTGACTGCGCCTTCATAGTGGAAATGAATTCGTAATAAACTGCGTAAAACAGTTTTTAATTATGCATAAAATTAATTAGAATTTTTTCAATGTTTTTAATTACCTTTTACGATTTAAAAAAACGCACGTAAAATATTTGTAATTATTTTAGTTCTTGTTTATCTCATCCCCTAAAAATGTTTTAACAAATGAGTTCATTTTATGTATAGTAGTTTCAGTCTTGTGTGTGCAGATATTTGTTACAACTCTTGTTTAATTTTGTCATTAAAAGTTTGCTAAGTTTCTTAACATGTCAGGATAAGTCAAATTTTCGTAAAATGAAATTTTAATTACTGAAAGTTAACGTAGAAAGTTTTCTACATCGTGTGTGGAAAATAAAAGGAGATTGCTTTTCTACCCTTACCAAAAGTATTATCATCGATAGCGCTAACGCAAGAGTAGTAAATAGAAGTAATAACACGAGATTGTCATAACTGGTGTTACGACCTTCGTATTAGTCTCGTTTAACCTTTATGTAACGTAGCTAACTCGAACATCCACAACGGATCTGATAATTTAATAAATTTCGTGTTTCCTGAAAATTTGATTACCTCGTAATCTCGCGATACCCGAAACAAGGTGAGCTAATATAATTGGTACAAGTTTTCGACGAACCTACTTCAGCTAACTCGATCATTATTGTTAACAAAAAAAAGTACAGACTAAAAAAGATTGCTCGAAATATGTAACACATTTATCTTGCCATATATCAAATCTAATTGACCATTGAAGGCTGTCAGATAAGTAGTGGACTAATTTTAAAAAGAGAGCTGTAAAAAGGTTTCTGTTATATTTGACTACAAGATTATAATGAGTGAAAATTATATTATCAATTTTCAGTATATATTTCCATAGGTAATAAATTAAATTTAAACTGCAAAAAGTCACTTGTGTTCTCCATCTATGTTTATCATAACCTTTGCTTTCCTAACCTATATTCATGCCACCATTTTATAGAAAAATCCGCCATTTTGATTTACCACTTGAAGACGAACGCTCAAATATTCTGAAGATCAATATACAGAAAATTTTCAATATTTCAAAAGAACTTGAAATAAATTAATTTGTAGATAAATGTACAATACAAATTTGTATGTTAATATACTCATAATTCTCCTAAGTGACGACATAAATCTCCTAAGTGACGTAGTAATCAAAATGTTTGACTAAACTTCATACAACCTTAACTACAACGCAGATAACAATCAGAAAGAAAGTTTTTCAACCGAGCATACCGGTATCGTATTACACTAATACACGTGTAGAATTCAACAAAGGTGTCCGCCACGATAAGCGAAACACGAAGAAGCAATTCACGCTTGAACGAAAGATTTCTGAGTAACCAATCGATTCGAAGAAATACAGTTCCAACGCGTCAGGGGTTAACGACCAAAAACTCGATCGTCGTTCTTCTTGCATTTCCTGCTGTAATAATACTAAACGCCTATGCACCATTATCTCGCTGATAAGACATTCGCGAAATCGTCAATGAAACAGAATTTAAAAAAGGGGAAGAAGGTAGATCTTCAGTGTTAAAGAATAGAGCCGTCGTTAGAGCTTATGAAACCCGAGGCAAAACACAATACATTTTTGCTTAACGCTGTATTTAAATTTTTTAATTTGTAAACTCGTAAATTAGAAATTTATAAATTTGAGAATTTTTAAAAATTTCAGTAAAAGTTTCTAAACTTGAAAGTTTTAAATAATCTTGTAAATTTGTGAGTTTTTAAATTTTGAAAATGGCGGATTTATTGAATTTGAAAATATGATCAAGTGCCCCGTTTAGCCGACGCTAACGGCGGTACTGGTAGCAGGTAAACGAAGTGGAAGGTGAAGATGGCAGAAATAGTCATCCTGTTATCGACACTACCGCGTTGCTTATCGTTCTACGGTCAATATTTCTCTCCCTGTTTCTTTTTTCCCGTTCTTTCCCACTTCCCCGGCTCGACATCGTTAGCGTGCGTTTGCGCTCTTGTCAATGTCCCTCTTATCCCGGACTTTATCGGTTGATAACGCTAATCTCGAACAGTATCGGCGATCACGGCGAAAAAGAAAAATAAAAAGGAGGCAGAACGACGCCTGTGGAAGCGCTTTTCAGTGGATCGAATTTGTCGAAGCCGAGTGAATGGCCGTTCTCCGCGTGGAGAACGTGCTCGGGAACGAGCGCAACCTCGTTACAGAGAGACGATTCTACACGCGGTGTCTCAACTCGTTCCTATCTGTTCCTTGCGAAACTCACACGTACACGCACGTGCGTGTTTCAATGGGTCCCTAGCGAAATAACGCCGCCAATCGGACGATTCTGTAATTGGAATGTCAATCGATCTGGACATCGAGCGGCCACGTTCCACGGAATTTGATAACGCGCTCACACGATACTAGAATAACAAGAATCGTTCCTTCTTTGACACTGAAATGTCGCTTTTCAATTGTCTAAAAAATGTATCAAACTTTTCATCTATAATTTAGTTCAAATCGAATAGCAAAGATACAAATTATGAACTAATTTAATATGGATAATATTAAATTTATGTTGAAGAATGAACATATGTTAATTATATGTTACCAACCATAGTAAATACTTTGAATAACATTCACCTGGTTTCACATAATCAGACAGGAAAAGCAACATTCCTATGTCTTTATATTGTTAAACTGTATAGAACTCTACTATACAATATTATCAACAGTTAAAGATACCATCAATCATGTATCATTTCAGAATAAAATATTTTGTGCCTCACCTTCAATATCTATCTACCATGATTAAAATAAGAAAAATTATTGTTAAACACAACTATATAAATGATAAAATATTACTCACCATTTAATACTCTTTTTGATGATGTTGCTAATGATTCTTTGAGATTTCCTGGTAGGTAAAGCAATGACATCATTACTTTTCTTCTTCCTGGTCCTCTTCTCCCTAACATTCTTTTTCTCCTGCTGAACATCCGAAATAGAAGTTTCCTCCTCTACCTCGACTAATTCTTCAGCTTTAGCCGAATTCTGAACCCACTCAGCAACATGGTCCTGAAGTTTCTGCTCAGTCGATAATGCAGATTCTTCCCTTAATTCTTCTTCACTAATCAATTCGCTAACAGTCGTGGGAGGTCCCACAATTCCAACTTCCATGTGTTCTACTATCTCTACAGACTCTTTTGTCTCAGAATCTCTCCTTGATGTTGCACTTTCAATTTGTGCAATAACACTTGCATCGTCACTAGTAATTTCGTCAACAACATTTTCCTTGCTTGATTCTGCTTCTACTTTTTCTTTAAATACCTCTGCATTGCTATTAGTTTCTTGTTTTAAATCCTTAGAATCTACTGTAGTTTGCTTAACATTGTTAGAACTCAAGTTTTCATGTACCACCTTTAATATATCATTCAATGTCTCTTCCTCTTCTGAAGCGGCAGTTTTAACATCTTTGTCTTTCACGGATGAATTATCCATTTCGTTAGGTTTTTCTGTTACATTATCTATTTCCATAAGCTCTTCATCTAATATTATCTCCTCTGTTCGATGTTTTTCTTTCTCAACTGTTGGATCTTCAGTTTTACATGAATCATCACTACTTACGTTTGCATTTTGCTCTTTTAATTCAATTACTTTAAAGTTTTTTTTACAAGAATCATTTATTTCTAGTTTATTTTTATTACAAGCGTCTTGTATCTGTGTTTCCATGTTTTCCAATTTTTTCACAGATGTAGATGGATCACTTAATACTTCCCTCTTATCCACAGTTCTTTTTAACTCTGTGCTTTCTGCTTTACTTTCTGCCATCGTTGCGTTGTTTCTCTTAGAGATTCATTTATAACATTTAAACATATACAAACATCATCAATAACGAAGCGCTTCTGAGGTATGCCAAATTTACAGCTACCATGTTACCATCTGAGCATGTATCGACATGTTTTATAATTTAAATTAAATTTTTTCTATTCAAGACGATATATTATCCATTTGAATGCTTCATTTCTTTCCTGCAAAAAGACAATGATTTCATGTAAATAACATTTAAAATTTGATGTATCAATAATTGATTCGGAAGATTCTTTACCGATACATGGTCGGTAAAGACGATCATACGAATTCAAATTTAACCTCTACTTTGAGGTTAGAATCATGATATATCACAAAAAATCTTTAGTATAGTTATGTTAAAGTAATAAATAATATCTCTATACTTAAAATATTATGGTTGTTCATATGTTTTTACACCAAACGATATAACTTATTATTTTATATAATGTAAAATTTGTTTCTATTAGCACTGAAATTTTATTCATAACATGCTATATAATCATATAATCAATAAAAGATATATAACAACTAACAAATAGCCTCAAATGAAATTATTTTTTGCGTAAATGATGCCCAAATATCTGTGTCACCATTTCTTTATGTAGCAATAAAACTCAATAATTATGTGCGCAATAAATGCATTAAAATGTTACAATTAATAGAACGAAAATTGTAGTTTATTGATATATAATTCTTACTGTGATTTGCCAATGAATGAAAGGTTATAATAATTATGTCTGAAGCATTCTGAATTACCTTCTATTACATGCTTTCACATAACAACAATGAATGCACTTTAGTGTTCACAACATAAAATGCACTTCAGAGTAAATCGCGGCATTTATTCGACTCGAAAGTTACTTAATAGCACCGTCAAAGGGTAGCATTATTGCCAGACACGTTCATAACCTCACTTATTTTCTTTCTGACAATCTGATTGCAACCGCGGATCGAATGAATGGCGCAAATTGAAAAATACGGTCGAGGTACAATCTCGAATCGAGATAACGAGTGTCGAAATCGAAAAAAACAAATAGAAGGCACAAAATACTGCGCACTGGAAGAGTTTATAAAATCACAAGAGACGTGTCAATCAACCCTGCTGTACTCTCTCGCTTTTTTTATGCCTTTCTATCTCTTTCAAAAAATGTTCTTATTCTTACATCGTGGTTGACAATCACGGAAACAATTTGCTCGAGACAATATGCGATATTACTTGTAATACAGTTTTCACGGTACCGACGTAAAACGAGAACACGATCCCGTGGTACGTAAGGCTAGTGACCTCTACCTTTTTGAAGTGTGCGTTCATGTGTGCATTCATATATTCTTGTGCGTCATACGTTGTATAGTATATCCATGGACTTACTGTAATTTACACATCGTCCAAGTCCATAATTCAACTATCCGTGGAATGTTTTTTTACCAGAATCGATGTCAAACCGATCGTTGCACATACTGTTGTATTTGCGTCGCATTATATAGCATTTCATGCAGACTGCATCTTCGCGGATTTTTTTGCTCTGACCAATCAAACGCGTTTACACGTTTCTTTGACAGCGACGCCGTTTGTACACAACGTACGCGATATTAACTGTAATATAATTTGATTTAACGTCGAAACGCAATTTTTACACGGAAAAAACAACACAAAACACTCCTGTGATAGAAAAATCCTATGTACTCGCGACACACTACTCACAGACTATTTTTCGTTTGTGGCTAAGACGCGCGCGCGTGTCTTAACAAGATGGCGACTGTACGATATACTGCTGAGTCTTGTCATTTGTACTTTTTATTTTATATTTTTTTATTTAGTATATATAAATGATTTCATTGACCGTGTATAATGACTTCTATTGTATTTTTTGAAGTTAAGGAGTTTGTTTAAGTATTGAGAAAAATTTTATTTCAATCAATAATCATGGTGTGTTAGTATATTTATAATGGCGCCAATTTTAAATGTGATAGAAGAAATTTCGAGAAATATTTAAGACTAGTTTATAAATATTTAAGACTATTATTGTAAAATGATATTTAATGTATGAGAGATTGAATTTATCAATTTTTTTTAATTAAATATGATATAAAAAATAATGGAGTAACAAAATTATTACATTTGTAATAAAAAAAAATTTTAATTAGTAGTTAATTATTAATGTTACTGTCAAGCTTAACTTACCTTAGCATGCTTTTAGAGAGTACAGTAAAAAGTAATAAACAAGTTTTTTCTAAAGTACGAGATATCGTTTAATATTAATAACTTGTTGCTATATATAAAAAGGATCTTTATAAATAAATTTATAAAGTACACGGTATCGAAGAATTAGAAAAAATAAAATTGTTAATAAAATTTCTCTCCTAATAACATTATCAACAATGAATAAGCTACAATTCCATGAAAACTTATTATAGTTCCTCGGTAAAATAAATTACAGTTCTTAATAACAAATTACACATCATTAGCGTTGAAATGTGACGTTACAAGGACAGTGCGAATGATTTTTGAAAATAAGAGTACGATGTTGCGTTGGTCTCATATATTTACAGATTATTTATGATTTATAATCAATAATGTCATACAATATATTTATATATTTATATATATATCAACAAAATAATGTTTTAGTCATTCTTATAGAGCTAATAAAATCTAAAGGCTAAACAGTCAAGGTTGATCTAAAAATTGGCTCTTCTCTGCACCGAGAACCTTCATTCGTGGTTTCTTTTTTTTATGTTTGCTACCTAACAATAAATAAACAAACAAATATAAATCTATACATTCCACGTGGTAGTGAAGGATAGTAATGATAATTAATTAATTGTGAACCACGATCGCAGTAAACACGGTGTCGAGCAGTCTCTCTTCAGTCTCTATCTAAATGCTTCTAAATTGTCGCAATAAAAATATCCGAGTTATTTTTCCATGATATAGAACAAGGACATCCCTTCAGTCGCACACTTCTTTCCATAAATATGGAAAAGAGTTATAGTAAAAATAAGTGGTTCTTCTGTATCACGGAATAAGACTTATCTTCTTACTAATCGATAATTTCAAGGAGCAGTATTCTCTATTTATTTAACAATTTCGATATTCTTGCTCTTTTTTCTATTGTCAAAATTAAAAATTGTATAAAACATTCTTCAGGAATATTCTTGAGAATTGAACGAACGATGACAAAGAATGTTTGAAGTTTCCAGAAGAACGTTTAACACGTGTCGTCGATTCTTCAACAACGAAAGTTAATATTTTCGAGCTCGAAGTAACGTGAATCGTGTCGATACTTCGCATTTATCGTGTATTTCATCGAGTACATTCTTCATAAACTCGTCAAGAACATACACACGTACACATATGTAGCTCATTGAATTTTTTAACACGTCTCTGTATGACTTTGCGCGATGTAGGACATTTTCCTCATCCATAAATCATGGAAAGTATGAAATCGTTATCGAAACAGAATGATACACGGCAACCTGTTAACTGCAAACCGGGAACGTGTATAATCGGACATCGAATGCATCATCTATTTTGGATACGCGCATTAATAGTATACAATTCCGTTATGAAACCTCATCCCATACAAATGTCGGAGTTCTTTTGTTATTCTAGTCGTAGTCGAGTAATTCGAGTTCTCTTTGACAACGATCGACTTTCCCGGTGTTTGCCAGCATGACATTTATCAACTTGCCCTCTACGAAATAAAATATTTCGTTCGAGTCAAGCTTTGAAGGACACAAAATTCATTTCCATCTTTTACAGAATCCGTCAAGTCGATTTAAACGACATAACACTGCTAATTAATTTGAATAATTCAATTACGCGTTTTATATAGTGCAAGGAAAGTGAAAGCGATTGCCAGCCGATATTCCAAGTACACCAAGTTTAATAAATTACAATTTTTTTAATGAATTTTAAAATTATACGATTTCTTAGAATTCTTTAGAATTTTTATTCTACGGAAATTCGGTAATTTGGTCACTTGGAAATTTTTTATAAATATAGTGATTATACAGTTTGCAGATTTGCATATTTAGAAATTTGGTTGCTTGAAAATTTGGGGAGAGTTCTACTGTTTGGGGATTTGGAATTTGGGGGATTTGGTATTTGGGGGATTTGGAATTTGGGGGATTTGGAATTTTGGGGATATAGAATTTAGGGGATTTGGAATTTGGGGGATTCGGTATTTGGGAGATTTGGAATTTGGGGGATTTGGAATTTGGGGGACTTGGAATTTGGGTGGGGGATTTGGAATTTGGGGGATTTGGAATTTGGGGGACTTGGAATTTGGGGGATTTGGAATTTGGGGAAATTGGAATTTAGGTGATTTGGAACTTGAGGAATTTGGAATTTGGGAGAATTGGAACTTGTGGGATTTGAAATTTGGGGAATTTGGAATTTGGAGTGATTGGAATTTGGGAGATTTGGAATTTGGGGGATTTGGAATTTGGGGGATTTGGAATTTGGGGAATTTGGAATTTGGGCGATTTGGAACTTGAGGAATTTGGAATTTGAGAGATTTGGAACTTATGTGATTTGAAATTTGGGGGATTTGGAATTTGGGGAATTTGGAATTTGAGGAATTTGGAATTTGGCGAATTTGGAATTTGAGGAGTTTGCAATTTGGGAAATTTGGAATTTGCAAATTCGGAATATGGGGAATTTGGAAATCTAATAACCCGTTAATGTAGAAATATAAAAAGTTGATTTGCAACTCCAGAAATATTAATCAGGAAATTTGAAAATTTGCAAATTGGAAAATGTAGAAATATAGAAATGTAGTAGTTTAGAAATTTGGAGATATAAAAGTTTCAAGTTCCATTTCCCAAATTCGCAAATGTTCAAATTTCCAAATTAAGCCACCAAATTTTCAAATTGAGAAATTGACTAGCAGTGGCTGTGCGCCATCGTGTTATTGTCATAGTATTTCACCTTATCACCATTTTCTATCTAATTACAGCTGGAAATCATATAATATAACCACTGACAAACACCAAGAAATGTTTAAATAGTCGTTTTTCATGTATGCATAGGTACACTCACAATCAGTCGTGGATACTTTAATACACGGTACATTTGCATGTCCTATGTGTACATTATGTAAAATATTTACTCTACCTAATAAGATCTACCTATATACGATTTTCTGTGCCTTTCATTCACCGAAATAACCTTTTCGTTTCTTTTTTCTTCTTTTTTAAACTATCGAATAGCACCTGTTTCTCGTCATTTCAGACGCGCGTAGTCACAGTTTCTTTTCTTTTTCGATACATGATCTTGCTATAAATAATATCTTGGTTTTGTTTCGTCAGAGTCGAGTTTACAGGAGTTACAGAAAGCAAATAAAAAATTCTCGTTTAACTCTTTGGTACAGATTCCTTGAGTAAAAGCCTTTTTTTATTACTAATAAAAATAAAAATTCGTGCAACTTCATTTTTAAAAAATATGGAAACATAACTTAAACCTTGATACTTCATACGACTCCATTTTTTTAAAGATTCAAATATTATAATATACCACGGTTATTAAAAAATTGGGTCATTTTGAATCACGTTCCAAAGAGTTAAAAGAATACAAAATTTCCAAAAACGAAACTGCGTTGAAATAAAATTACAAAGTACATATTTACAAAGTAAAAACCATGATATGTCTTCCTTCGTCAAACCTGTGTTTCTGATCGATGAAGTACAATAAATTATTAAAGCTTAAAACGAGGGTACATATTTAATCCTTGTTAGATTCATATTTAACTCATTTCAGTTATCGACTTAATTTCATTACTGTACAATCGTTTTGATATATTTGATAGTTTGATTACGAATAACATTACAGTTAATATCCGACGCGTCTCAGTTTTCATTTCATCCTCAGTTTCCTTCATCGACGGTCACGGTTTTATCCGTTCATTTTTACAACAAACATTCTTTTCGTTGATGTCTCACAGCTAACAAATATTTATCCTACCGAACTTTCTCCTTTCAGCATCCGTTTCACCGCTTATAATGTTCAAATAATAACCAAGAATATTTCTAACAAAGTAGTTCATGGGACAATTTAAACCTTAACGGATGGAGGCTATAAAAAATTGATTTGACCTAATTAGTCGGAGCTATATTAAGTCCTCCGTGACCAGCGGATACGCAAGTTCTGTCCATATTGATTTCGAAGCGTGACACTTTCAAAAATGAATCACCTTTCGAGATTTATCTCGCTGAATTTACAAATAAACCGATTCGGTTGTTCATCGAGTAGCGACCATTTAAATGGTTGAAATTCTACGTGCG